TTTATATAATGATATAATCTCTTTTTGTTTTTCTGTTATAACTGTGATATTTTTCTTGAAATTATTATATTTTTCTTGAGTTATAATATTTTTTTATCTGTGTTATTCTTTTGAGTATTCTTTGAGTTAATAAAAAGCTGTCTTTAGTATAAAATCTGTTGGTTATAACCTTTCTATATTAAGGTTACATTGGCAATAAATTAACAATATTTTGTTTTATTTAAAAGTTATTTTTTGTTATAAAATTATAAAAACACATTTTTTAACTACTTGAACACTTAGTCAAGTAGTATAACTTGTTAAACAAAGGTCTAACAACATTATATTATATTGTGTAGAATTCATTAAGTAGATTTTAGTATAGATGTAAATAGAAGTAGAATCATAATAGAGTTTGGAATCTATTTAAATTAGAATAGAATAATTATACAAAATTCTGATCATAACTTTAAAATTCTAAATTGACTTAAATTTTGTTTCTGATATAGATCCATATTACTGTATTACTGTTTAATAAATATTATAAAGCAAAATATAATAATATGAAAATTGTAATAGTTTAAAAGAGAAGCTATTATTTAAAAAGTTATAATTAATAAAAAGTAAAGTTTCATAAGTATTTTCTAATTTGATAAATACAAATGCAGGTAACTAAAATAATTTTTGATATTGTCTATTTAATGATATATCTACTTAATTAAGATAAATGAGTATATATATATAAGTATTATTATTTATATTAGTTTTTAACATCAAAAATAATATGTAAAAAAAATACAACTATATTAGTTGCATCATAATAAATACTTATATCCAATCACTCAGAGCTATTACTAACAAGAGCAGTAATAATTAAAATATAATTTTTATTCTAATAAAGGTTAATATTTTAAGTTTCACTAGTGCATATATATCCTTATATGAACTAATCTATTATATTTATTAGTGCTTTTATATAAACTAGAATCTATAACTAATCATATATATATTAAAATTTTTTTAACTAGCAAAAATTTAAAGTTGATTAATTTATTAATTGATAATACAAAAAAAGTACAGAAATACAAAAATTCTTATTTTTATTTATTTATTTTTATTTTTTAATATATTTTTTTATACGATATATATTTTTTTATTTATTATTATTATTATTATTATATTATTTTATTGATTAATATTGTCAAATTCTTCTAAAATACTTGTAGAAACATGGCAATGTGATCAATACTATTTCACTACAAAAATAGCTTCCTTACCTGTAAGACCAAGTTCATAAGTATTTATGTAATATTCAGAATGATATGTGAATTAGCGAACTTTTGTTAGGCTAACAGATTCCAATACATATAGTATAACTTTCTAAAGGCCCTTAAATATATAATCGCAATAGAAGCATGAATACCTTTTTGTTTCTGCTTAGAATGACTTAATATAATTAAGTTCGTAGTAGAACTTCAGATAAAATATATATATATATAGGCCATCAAAAGTAGAAACCAAAGAATTTAGCAATTTTTAAAAATTAATCTTTTTGATTAATTAGATGTAAAATTTAAAGCCCAATCTTTTTTACTTAATAATGAAAGTTTGATTATTTAATAAATTTTTGCGATACAACGGTTAAAAGCTTTTGATGCTACAATCTAAAATAGATTTACTAAAGATTTACTATGCAATCTACAGTTCTACAGATCTAATAATCCTGTTTAAACAGATTTGTTAATTTTGAATAAACTATTTTAGATTGTTTTGATTTTGTGTAATAAAATAGTTTTTGCTAATTTTCTCAAAACCTGTGATCAGCCAAATTCTCTAGTTTTTATTTTTAGAAGCCCATATAGTCTGCTATTTTAATGATCTAAAAAAAGTATTAATATTAATAAGTTAAATTTTCATAAAATTTTTTACTTTATTATATAACAACTTACTTTTTGTAGATGTGATTTTTAAGATACAAAGTTAGGCTAGACAGAAAGGATATGTATTTATAATAATTCAAATTAGTTAAATCTGAATTAGTTTGCTTATATATATCATATTTTCTTATCAAGCCTGATATCCACAATCTATACTTACAAAGAACTCATTGAATATCTTTGGGTTTTATTACACTATCGATATTAGTGAATATTATAATATGTGTTGAGCTATTAGATTTTTTACCATTACAGAAAAGTGGTTATTTACCACCATCTTTTATATTTATTCTTATAACCACTAATGTATTATCAGCAAATATATTATAGTTGCAACTATTATTAAACAAAAACAAAGCAACTTTTTTCAGGTGAGTTCATTCAAATATTGGAATTGCATATTCACTTACTTGTTTAATGAAATCTTTACTTGTCCACTAGCTATCACAATTTATACCAGAATATATTACAATACAGGCCTCAGTATATACAAGCTATTTATTATCAAGTAACAAATTATTAATAGTACACTTCTTCTCTAAAAGTTGAAGACGTCTAATAGATTTACAAATAAAGTTACTTATATAGATACTAAGATTTTGTGACTTTTGATAAAGTTGGCTTTCATATTCTGGACCCCAGGTCTTAATAGCACTATTCTTAGTATAAAATAATGACTCATCCTGGATAATAGAAACAATCTCAGATACAAGTAAAGGTAGAATAATCTAATTTAAATTTTCATCTTCATAAATAGCTATTCTTTTTCATAATTCTGCAAATTTTTGCAAAAATTCATGCCAATATGTTACTATGTCCTTATGTTTGTAACTATTAAAATATATATTTTTTAAATGATCTTTATATTGCCAACTAAGTCTATGCAACTATTTACGTACTATTGTATATGAAATAGTTGTCTTTTCTTTTATTTCAAAAGCAAGTATAACTTTATTCTCAATAAATTTTACAAATTTAGCAATTCTTAATATAAATTTGTATGCATGCAAATATTTAGCAACTTGTAATTTAAAATTTTCATAGAGAAGAAGAGATTTAATCTTTGCATAATGACTATGTTTAGATAAAACCATCACAAAGTTTATCAAAATGCTTAATAAGTACTTGTTAAATATTTTTTAAATATTTAGCAAGTATTTATTGGAGCTAAGGTATGTTAGAATATAGTTACAAATATTTATTATAAGTATTTATAAAATATTTAAAAATTAAGTACTTAATAAATATAAAATTTTATATTTAGCAAGTATTTAAAATTTAAAGTACTTTAAAAATATAAAATTTAAGTACTTATTTAATATTACTATTTAGTGAATACAAGCTTGCAATTATTACAAATTTGTGATAACAATCTTACCTTTATTTAGCTACTGATTTGCCCAAGAGCAAATAAGCTATGCATATTATAGTCTTTTGTCCAAGCTTTGAGAAAGAAATATACTTGTATCTATCTTGCTAAATCTTTGATTCTGAACTAGATAAAGATATTGACTTCTGTTCTAAGCTACAAATCATCACTTTTATTTTTTAACAATAAATCTAAAGATTCTAATATAAATTTACTATTATCATCATTACTACTATTGTATGTATCATTAAATATAAAATCATAATTTTCCACGATGGACTCAGAAGACTCAGGGACTCAGAAGCTTCAATATTCTTTAGTAAAAACATATCAGTAATCTTTTTAGAACCTGAAGCTGCCTTTTTCCAATATGCTTTCTTGTTGTATAATATTGATTCTGTATCATCTCTATATATTGGTCTACATAAACTTGTAGTCCATATATTTGTTTTTGCATTTTTAACTAATTGCTCCAATATATTTTGTTGTAGCCCTTCTAGTTGATCCATGATTTCTTTACTATTAAAATAATTTTTCTTATCTTCTATCCAAAAAGTACTAAAATATTTATCATATTCATCAGATTTAGCATCTAATAGCTTATCAGAGTCTTCTATTTGTATCTCACTAATAATTTTCTTATACTCAACAGGCTCTAATTCTTTAATTATCCTAGATTTTAATTTTTTAACTGTTCCTGATTCTAATTCTTTATCACAATTTTTTGCTTGTTTCCAACATTTTTTAATAGCTTCTAGTGATTGTTTTGTATATTTACTTCTTTTTGGTATTTAAATACTGTTAAATTTAAAAATATCTAAAAATATTAGTTATAATAAGTCGTATTTGTAGCTGGTTTAAAATCTCAAAAAAAATAAACATAAAAAGTTATCTAAAACTTATCTTAAAAAAAAATATTAAAAAAGTAGTTAAATACTTATGAAGATACCAAAGATAGTAATTAGACAATCACTTGATTTTTAGAAGGATTGTTCAAATTAGAAAATGTTCAATGATTTACTGATATAATAATATTCAAATATTTTCTAATTTGATTAATTCTTATAACTTTATTTTTTTATTCACAAAAAAATAAAGAAATATTTGAGATTATTTTGTATCTCTTAAACTGTTTTCCAGGCAAATTTGCCTAGAATTTTTAAATTATTTGATAAACGTTATTGTAACACCAAATTATAATAAGTAAAAGCCCCTAACGCATGATTTTCTAGGGCCGGGAGAACCTGACCAATCA